GACAACAGATCAAAAGCCGCATATAAGCGACGAACGAGGTTAACAAACATCCGGGTATGTTGTACCTTATCTTTGGCAAAAACCTACATCCAGTCTTTATGTAAAGAAAGAAGGAAAAGCAGCCTGTCTTCCTGTAGGTGGAAGCGTATACAGCATCACTGAACTATGTCAGAGCATCAGCGTCATCTATAATCGTGTCAAAAGCATTTTGTGTTTTTAGGTGTAAAACGTTTGACATCGGACCTATGCTGCATATTTTAAAAAAAACAAAGCTGTGTTCTATCTGTGCTCGTGCACAGGCAGAACAGAGCTCTGAGGTCAGCTCGTCTCCAGAAGTGCTTTAAAAAGTTGAAAGCTGGCGGAAGAACAAACAGCAGATCTGTGTATCAGGAGATATTCCCTGAACATGACCCGTGACTTCTTTAAGTTTTTTCCATCCTTCCTGCCGCTTTTCTAACTTCTGTCCTGGAGCTGCGAGGTTGCAGCTGAAGGCTGCCGTCTCTGCGTTCCATCATTCAAATGGACAAATTCACTTTAAAATTCGCTCTCGGCGGCTGAGCGTAGCTTTGTCTGTCACAGCCACAGATGGCCGAGTCAGAAGTGCTGCAGAGTCATTTGATCCGATGTGATTTTCTTTAAAAGAGCCAATCTGTCGTCTGGTCGCTTTCATGTCAGGTTCGCATAATTACGAACTACGCCTGGGTGTAATTAGAACCCAGCCTTTTATCGACTGACTTATTTTCCTCTGAGATCACTTTTAAGAGCAGAAACTGTTAAAGATGCAGGTCATTCCTCCTCAGCTCTCTGTAGCTGTTACAAAAACGCAGCCAGCAGCACCTTCAGTCAAGCGGCGTCCCATCATTATTATTATTATTATTACTGTGATTGCAATGGAGGCATCATTTTGGGCTTCATTTTCCAGGGGTTCAAATTTCTGGGACCTTGCTGACCTGGTGACCTGATGAGCTTCTAGAATGACTCTTATCAGCTGAGAGCACACCTGGTGATGTCAGCCTGGTGCTTAACCTTTCGATGTTTAATCAGGAAGAGATTCTCTGAGTAAAATTATCTCTGTTCCCAACAGGGGCGGAGCGTGGGGGTGGCTTACTGGGCTTAAGCCCGGGTTGTTTTGTCAGAAGCCCGGGGTCTTTTGGAGTGTAATTTTTTCATAGTTAGATGCCTGGCTGACAACTGTATAAAACAAAAAGTACACACAATATTCGAAGCACATAGTGCACACTGTGGGAATTTACGACTGTGCGTGAATCCCCCCTGATATTGGTATGATCCGAGCTCAGGCACTAAGTGACTGAGCGAGGGGGCGGGGCAGCTGCTGCCTGTGTGCGCTGTTGGAGAGACGGAGCCAGGCATACTAAGGAGAGCTTAAGTTTGACCAGTTACCAAAGAAAATCATTCGTACCGTACAAATAATGTAAATATGACGGTGCATCACGAAAGATTGATATCAAACTGATCACTTGACCCATATTACGTTACTCGCTCTTCAAGTGAATCAACAAATGGCGAAATGAAAAGCCGAACAAATGCTATTTTTTTAGAGTCTTAGCTTACGTGTGTTTATTTCATATTTTCAGTTCTTACCCTCCCCGACTAAATCGGTTTCAGTTATGTACTGAAATATAAGAATGGACATTAGAGGCTTCTTTCAAAGAAAAAACTCAGGTAAATGTTATTTTATATATTATGCTTTGTATGTTGTTCAGTATATTTCTATGCAAAACAAGAGGGATTTCAGTACACAGCAGGATATTTACATTTGTAACCAGATATTTACATACACTTTAGGGAGAAAACATAAAACATTTTTACTGTACAACATCAATTTAGATTAAACTTTTGTTTTAGATAAATATTGAAATATCTTTTGAATTAGTTAAATGTCAGAATAAAGAGAGACAGAGCTGTCTATTTTTTATCACTTTGATCAAATTTAGGAGTACATATACATTAAGTTTATTGTTAATTAGTAAGAAACTCCAGACGATTCCATTCTGAGCTGAAGAAGCTTCTGATAGGTTAGTAGAGTCCATGTGAGTAAACTGGTGGCACAGCTGTGGATGCATATAAGGCAAAACACAGAGCCTGTTTTTTTGAAATGGGAAAATCAAGAGATGTCAACCAAAACACCAGGAACAGAACTGTGGAGCTCCATAAGTGTGGCTCAGTTTGAATACAATTTGGTGCCATTTGCAATTAAGAAATACAGATAGTTTCTCTCTTTACTCTTAAAGTTAACAAATATGTTTTTATATTTATCAATCTAAAAAAATAAACATTTAGTCCGATTTGATGTTACAATTAAAAAGTGTTTGTGTTTTGATCTGAACAGTACATAAATATGTGGTTTCAACTGTATATTTGATGATTGTCAGCACAAAGAGGGAGAGAGAGGAACAGAGAGGGAGAGAGAGGAACAGAGAGGGAGATGGAGAATGAGGACAGAACAGAGATGAACAAGAGCAGGTGAGACACACATGTTAGTCAAATGGTCATTTGCCAAAAGTATCACCGTATCATAGGTCCTCATGTATCTCGTACCTAGTGTTTCTTTTTAGGTTTGCTATTTTTCAAATTCTATATTTATTAAGTTATGCAGGCTTGTTTGCACAACAAGGATAAATAATTATATAAACTTTTCTCAATCTAAATATTGTACTTTGGTAGAATTAAAAAAATAAGTGTAGTGCAGGTCTATGATGATTTTTAGTGCTACTATCATCTAGTTCTGATTCTGGTTCTGTCTTGGTTAAGTCCTCAGTAGTCCTGATTTTGAACTGTTGTAGTCCTGTTTTAATTCAGGATCAGTTCTGCCTGGTTGAATTGGGGTTTAGTCCACGTGTCTTGATGCAGCCCCGACTTTGTTCTGCCTTGCTGCTTAATTAAAAAACTAGTTTAAGATGTCCTGCACATGTGATATATATTTTTCCCTATATGAAGTCATTCTTTTTTGAACAAAACTCAAAACAGAGCCTATTAATCTTTCAGTAATTTCTAACCCCCCCCCTCAAAAAAAAAGATAGAAAAAAAAATGCATACTACCCTTTAGGGCTAAGCCCCGGGTGTTTCAAATGTCTGGCTCCGCCTCTGGTTCCCAACAGTCATCCAGGAATTATCTGTTCGTCTTCGCAAAAACACGGCAGCTGTAACCAAACACCTCTGGACTGAAGCTAAAGCGCCCAGATCTCAGCAGGTCCCAGTTCCACAGTGAAGGCTGTGAGCGACGAGGTCAGCGGCTGATGCGGACGCGCGTCTGCTGTTAGAACTCTGGAAAGCACTGAAAGCGGGCTGTCAGTCGTTCTGACAAACTTCTCTGCTGCAGAGGAAACCTGCAGTCTGCTGCCACAGTCGACTGTGGACGGGTTTCTCTCTTCCCCTCAGAGCGATGGTTCAGCATTACATCTCACTCTCTGCTCCCACAAACATCATTACACGATCTGTGCTTTGTGAATCAACGCCCCTAACCTCAAAAACCATGTCAATGTTTGAGTTAATCACGCCATCGATTCTTGTTACAATCAGTTTCATCTCAGCATCCGTCCACTCTACATTTATTATTATGATGATGATGATTATCATTATTATTTGACCAGGATGTCCCACTGAATCTCTAAGAATGGAGACCTGACCAATGTAACACTGCAAACACACAATATCAGCTGCATGACTGACAACGTGATATACACCACACACCTACAACATGAAACACCGTGACCTCCCAAGAAACACATCCACACCCCCTTCACTGCGTTCCTGCTTTTTCTTTCAGCAGTAGGCCGACAAACATATCAGCGCTACTCATAAAGAGGACGATATTGAGTGAGAGACTTTGCATTTGGAATAAAACATGGAGACGCAGGAGGTATTAAAACTGAGGAGGCACACCACCATCATCACAGGCAAAAAAGTGGCTTCAGCAGAATAAAAGTAAAGCTACATTTTTTATTCCATTTATTTTTATGAAACATTTTCCTTCACATAATTTTTGTGTTGTTTTTGTGGTTCTGGAGAAAAGAAAGAAGAATCCACTAAAGTCCATTGTCAGTTTTTATTGGGAAACAAAGTCTGAGTCGAACTTTTGGAGTTAAAATAAATAAATATTATTAACAATATTAACATCTTATTTCATGGTACATTAATTACTGGAGGTTTATTAAAATCTCTCAAATCTTTTAAACGTTTATATACAGAGCTTTTTTTTTATTATTAGAATGTTTGTATTGCGCATGCCCGGTACCAACAGTGGCTCACGCGCTTTTACGCACGGCGTCCTCCTCCAGGTATCACACCTGGCTGTGGAAAACTCACATAGTTAGGACGGATAACGCCGGATACTCCAAGAACGGACCTTCAAATTAAAAGCACAACATCGCCAAAAAGACAATGCGGCATTAAAAAGTCTCCAAATATTTATTTAGCCTTTTTAAGCTTCACTCTTTGTGTATAAAGAAGAGCTTAGTTTGATTCTTTTTAATGTATTTTAGATTTTTTTTAATCATGCTAAATATAGTTTTTATTTATAAAGCATTGCTCTTTAGCTCTTTCTTTCTATTTTTGGTTTTTATTTTACTTATTTAGAAATTTTTTCTGTAAAGATTTTTTCTTTTTATATTTGCCCGTTTTTATTTAATGATGTATTTCAGACATATTCAAGTGTTTTATGAGGTTCTTGTGGTTTTATTTTTCATATACTCGCTCTGAATCGCAGTTATTTCACTCATATTTCTGACTAATCCTCAGGTGTTTGTTAATCCCTCTGTTCCCTCCGTGCACCTCTGGATGTGTTCAGAGCTGGGACCGGAAGTCGCGCAGGGTTATCCGTGTGGCTTGACTGCGCTCTCTGTCCCGCAAAATCCCGCAGCTGGCATGAGTTTAGGATCCGTGAGTGGAAAAAAGAGGGGGGAATGAACAACACGCCGCCAGGATTACGGTTGGTGTGTGGACTTTTATTTCACTTTGTCCGCTTTTGGTTTTGGGGGATTTGAACTTTGATCGGGTTTCTTTCTGTGTGGCTCGCTCGTGGCTCTTCATCGGACTGTATTTGGGACCACAGCCGCTCCGTGAATGCTTTTCCACAAGTATTTACAGTGCAGGGTGTGTTGTCATCACTCTTGTTTTCGACAAAATGTTTTCTCAGAGCTGATTAATCATGTGTCCATTTCAACTTTATGAAACCAAAAATGATGCTTTAGTTAAGTTCTATAAAGTCCATAATTCTATTTAATCTCATTAATACAACAGCCTGTGTGTGAAAATGTTACAGCTCAGTGGGTTTTCAAAATAAAGTTCCAGATCGTGAGCATGACCGTTAGAAAGTGTAAGTTCTGAGGTCCCGTGGAGCTCCCGGGTTCTTTAGCGCACTGTGTGCTTTGTATTTAGTTGCGTGTTTGCCATCTCTCTCTGCATTGTGTTGAACAGGGGAGTGTTTTTCGCTGACATAGTTCTGTAGGGATTATAATGCAGGGAGCACATGCCCTCATGGCCCATTGTTGGCCCCTCTGTCTCTGTTGTCTCTCTTTCTACTGAGCGAGTCAATTGATGGAGGGATAAAAGGCCAAAAATATGCACTGACATGGCTTTCAAGAGAGAGAGAGAGCGGGGCAGAGGCAGAGGGTCAGTGGCAGATTTGGTAGACCTACTGTTGGTGGCCTGTACCCAGAGCCGGCAGCAGACAGGCCATGAGGGCCCAGAGCAGTCCTACAATTAAACGGGGAACACCGAGAAGCAAGCCATGTCTTTAAATTACATCAAAAACTTCTACGAAGGATGCGTAAGTACATCACTCAGACTTATTGGAAGGCTCTTCCTCTAACCGGAGCCTGCCTCACCAAAGCTTTGACAGTTAGAGAGAAGCAGTGCTTAACACACGTCCCTCCCGTGGCTTAAAATGAAAAGACATTAAAAAAAAAAAATTAAAGTCAATCTTCATTTTGCTTCAGTCTTTATGTAGCTGAGCAACATATTTGTGAGCCAAGAGGCTCTCTGCTTTGTGTGAGTGCCATTTGGGCCCTTTTCTGATAAACATGAGATGGGAAATGTTTCCTCTCAGTGGGTTTTGTTTTAGCCTTCAGAGCTCAGGGCCTCCAAAGCAGCTGCTTTTATCTGGCTGACAAAAGATGTTTTTCCTCTTTATGTGTGTGTGTGTGTGTGTGTGTGTGTGTGTGTTCCAGCTCAGGCCTCCTACAGTGATAGGCCAGTTCCACACCTTGTTCTTCGGCTCCGTGCGGATGTTCTTCCTGGGCGTCCTTGGATTCGCCGTCTATGGGAATGAGGCGCTGCACTTCAGCTGCGACCCTGACCGCCGAGAACTCAACCTTTACTGCTACAACCAGTTTAGGCCCATAACACCGCAGGTAGGAGTCGTCATCCAAACTTTCATCCCTCTGATGTCACAAACCAAAGCAGAATGAGCTTTTAGAGGTGCCATCAGCTTTTATTAACACGAAGTAAATGCTACAAAACATCCGAACAATTCTAAATATCCCAAAATGTCTGTAAATGTTGACCACCATTACAGATCATATTGAGTTTGAGTTCTGAGAAATCGCATGTGTACAATGAAGAAAAGCAGTTGTGAATTATCAGTTTGGATAAATTCTGTTGAAGAATACAGTGTCATGCATGAATCAGGGAAGTTTCCAATATTCCAGCTGAGGCATGTTTGGGGACAGATGGTGATGTGTCCAATCCAATAAAAAGCATTTGCAGTCAGAAAACGGTCGCAGGTGGTTATCAGCATGAACGGCTTTTTTCCGTATTGGTGGAAAAGTCAATTTGGGAAAGAACATTTCAGCAAACATTGAACTGCAAATGACCAGATTCCCGCCTGCTGCTTTTCCAGAGACACAAATCCTATATTTCACTGATTTCCACCATCTGGAAGGCCAATTTAAAAGCAGTGTCTGAAGTCATGCACAATAAATGGACTTGTGTTCTTTTTACTTTGTTCTTTAACTTTCTATCCCTATTTAACCTTTTTCTCCTTCCCCCGATTTTCATCCTTGACTTGCTGCTCTTGTTGAAGTCCTCTTCCTGCTTCAATCCATCAACTTCCATGAGCTTTTCTCACTTCCCCTGCGTTGTTCCTCCCCTCTTCAGGTCTTCTGGGCATTACAGCTGGTAACAGTCCTAGTTCCTGGAGCAGTATTCCACCTTTATGCCGCCTGTAAGAACATAGACCAGGAGGAGATCCTCGAGCGACCCATCTACACAGTCTTCTACATCATTTCTGTTCTCCTGCGCATCATTTTGGAAGTCATCGCCTTCTGGCTACAAAGTCATCTCTTTGGCTTTCAGGTCAGTCGGTGAGAAATGTGACACGATAAATATTTTTATTCATATGTTCACCCATATTCACACCAAAGGATGGCAACAATGAGAACTGTGACTGTGTCTGGAATATAGTTTTTTTTTTTTAAACATTTTATTTTGTATTAATACCCAATTTTAATAGTTATAACTGTTTAGAATGAAGATTTAAATTTATTATACATACCTACAATGTAAACAAACCTATTAGTCCATCTGACATAAAAATATTTAAACATCTGTCCAAAACAAATTCAGAAATTTAAAAATTATATTATTTATTGGGCAAATAATAAACTCGATTCACATTTGATATCCAAATTTAAACCAGCACACTGGACTCTTCTGAGAAGTCAGAAATGAATCAAACATGACATGCAAACACTACAATTAATTTTTCTCTTCAGGAATGTAGGTTTATTTATCATGTTTGTCTTCTGATAGAAAACAAATAATTTACATGTAAAGTAAAGTAAAGTGTGCGTGTTAGTCCCCATAGGGAAATAGTTCCTCTGCATTTAACCCATTCACCCAGTGAAGCAGTAGTGAATAGGAACCTTTAAACCTGACAGAAAAAGTGATTTGATTTATATTGTGATAGATGATGATATCCACTGATATGAGAAAAGATATTGGAGCCTATCCCAGCTGTCATAGGGCACACCCGAGGCAGGGCACACCCGAGGCAGGGCACACCCGAGGCAGGGCACACCCGAGGCAGGGCACACCCGAGGCAGGGCAGCAGACAGACAACCATTCACATTCATGGACTAGATGATGGAATCGAACTTGGGATCTTCTTGATGTGAGGCTACTGACCGCCCCACCATGCAAATATAATTGGTATATAAATGTCATTATTATGATAGCAGAAAGGTCAGATTTTGCTACCTGGTAAATTGACCTTTATTACAGTACAAGATAAGTCTCTTTAGGCATGACGTACCAGGGAAGTTTGCCGCTTTACTTTGATCATGGATCTGTTCCTGTGTGAAAACGTAGTAATTGTACTTTTTGACTCTGTTTTAAATGGTCCGGCACATAATAGGTACAGCCAGAGTAGATACATTGGCAATAATGCCGATCAAATTCCTGTCTTCATGAGTTGTAAGGTTTGAGCAGCCAGTGGCTAGAAGTTGAGATAAGAATGGAAGCTTCAGTGCCTCACATTTCTCTCTTTTTCCCCAGGTTCACCCACTGTACATGTGTGATGCCAGTGCTTTGGAAAAGGCTTTTAATGTGACAAAGTGCATGGTACCTGAACACTTTGAGAAAACCATCTTCCTCAGTGCCATGTACACCTTCACCGTAATCACCATACTTCTCTGTATTGCCGAGATATTTGAAATACTCTGCCGACGACTGGGCTATCTCAACAATCAGTGACACAAGTGCACAGATAAAATGACTTGTGGTAAACCTGTATGACACCTTATCTGCCAGTTATACCGGGCTCCTGCCGGCTACGGCTGGACCTTTATAAAACAGGGAGCGAACAGAAGACCAAAACCTCACCTGTGGTCAATCATGAGTAAGTGGCACTAAGAAATTTGAGACAGTCCAACAATGTTAGAGCTGGCAAGTCTGAAATAACTTCCAGAGTTTAACCATAACTATAGAGTGATGATCCCTGGTTGTATATCAGATATCAGTGGGTCTGTACTGGTTGTGTCCAAAGGTGTTGTGTGGCCAATAGTTACCTCTTACTGAACACTTGGGGATGGACTAGAAAGACTTTTGGTTTTCTTTTTTTTCCTACAAGACATGGCTGAATGACAGACTTCATGGTGCTACTAAAAACTCTTTCCAGATGGATTACAGCCCAATGTCAAACACCTCAAAGGCCCATAACAATCTTTTCTTGGAGTTGTACCTCAGATCTGACTATACAGAAGAAACCCCAGAAGCATTAGCTGCACACATTTTTTTCTAAAGCACTTTGAGTGCTCAGATGAGTAGAAAAGCGCTATATAAGAACCAGTCCATTTACCATTTACCATTTAAAGGGCCTAACATGCACTAAATGCATCATGGTTCATCGAGCCAACTTGATGCATCCTCTGTGGACTCTGTTCACTTATGGAGTGCCAACCTAAACAGTTCTTCTTACGGTGCAAAAAGATCTGACTGGAAGGCGTAAGGTCTTCATGTAATGTAACTGTTAACAATGCAATTAACTGAAGAGCTAGTCACATTATTCTGTATAAAGTGCAGATGAACGTAACTGTCTAGCTTGCCTTTCAGGTGGCAACCACCAAACGTGACAGGCACATCGCAGAGCTGGCCACAGATTGTCACTCATGCCATGCATAAGAAACTGTCATCCAGTAACCTTACCCATGGGCGAGTGAATTGCAGGTGCCATTGCTTCTGACACTTTTATGTGTGACAGTTATCGCTTACAATGTGTGTCTGATGTTGCTCAAGGTCTGTTTTGACCTTCACTTCAATCAACACAAGCGCCACAACTTTGTTGTCATTTCATATAGGATGGTAGTTCTTAAACAACTTGATCATCAAGCTCATGTGCTGGTTGAGCCTAAACATATGCTTGAGTTTACCTCAGTGAGATTAAAAGGCATCTTCAGACCACCGATGCGTCTTACCAAAGATGCCATTGCTAAAATGGTTGCTATGTAGTGTTTTACTCTTCAAGGTAAAGATCTGCCCAAAGATGCAACTTATTATGAAATGGGTTTGATGCAATGAACTACGAAAAGGAAAACACCTTGTAATGTATATTTTAAAAAAACTTTATCAAAATCTATCACCTGAAAAATCTGAGTTAAAAAGTTACAATTACATTTGGCTGTAAAAATGTGTTGAAATGAAAAATTTTCAGTTATATAGTAGTACTAAAGTTGTAATGGTTTTGAAATTTCTGAAACAAAGCATCAAGCTCCATTTAGAACATTCATATGTTAATTTTTTGTTAATAGGTATTTAATAAAATCCTACTGGCAGATTTGTTGAAATCCAAGCTGGAGAAGGTTCAAGCCATTCATGGTTCTGAACGTTCTGGGACACCAGAAGAGGTGTCCTCAGTCCCCCGCCTTTGCTTCACCCTTTTTTCTTTGCTTGAAGTATTAATACTTTCTGTAATATTTTCCTTTGGTGTCATTGTCCATGTATTTTGAAAAAGATTACCTCATGTTTTGTAATGTTTTATTTTTAATCAGACATCCATCCAACTTTTGTTATGAAGTTTTCAGCAATCTGTTCATCATCTCAGGTACAAAATTGCATTACACGACAAAAGTGGATCAAACGCTCTTTCCGAACCCTTTTAAACCCTTAACCCTTTTCCTCTCTCTGTGTCATCACTCCAGTTGCAGGATTTAGAAGGGTTTGAACCAGGTATGTGACTCCTGTGATTTGGGTTTGTCTGCGTTCTGGTATCTGTGACTGGACGATGGTTTTAAATTTTGCCTCTAAAAGTTCTGTCACCAAGACTAAGGCCTGGTTTGTATGAAATTAACAACTGCAGATGAATTTGGCAGGATAAAAGGTTTCGAGGTGGTGCAAATAATGAACAAATCCAGGAATCTCACTGGATAAAATGGGATAAAACTAATTTAAGTCCATAGCAGTGGTCTATCTCAGTCTACTGCTCAGGTATACGAGGTGCTATCCAAAAAATTCAGACTAGGGTGATAAAAGTAAAACCCATACCTGATTTAAATGTAGCTACCGTCCCCTTCACAGTAGTCACCTGATACAACGATCCATAGTTTCGGCTCGTTAACCACACCTGGAACACTCCCCGAAAGTCCCATTTTTCTCATTGGTGCTGCTTCCGTTCAATGGTGCAAATCGTTTCTTTCTTCTTCTTTTTTTCACCTGCAAGGTAACACAGACTAGTGTAACATTCACCTAAGCTGCTTCTGGCACCTGTTGCATGTTAAGAAAAGAACTTCTGAGGGAGAAGTCAGTTTCTTTTACTAGACTGTACACATTTACTTTCTGGTTACCAGACAAGCTGGCTAGTTTACTTGCAGTTAGCAATGCAGCTACCTTAAACAGCTCATGCTTCTTTGTCCACTAGCTAGCAAGTTGCCAGAGCACATCACATTTCTATAGGTTTTAAGCCTCTGTTCATTTAGTGGGCTAGTTTCAGTCCTTGTGAAAGGTACTGTTTATAAGGTTGGGGAAATCTGTAGTCAGTTGAAACTGAAGAAGTCACCTGGATGAGTGGCGCAATGTTTCTCCCACTGAAAACGCTATGTTCAGATGAACAGAATCAACTTTTGGGGGTTTTAAGCCTCTAGTAATTTCAGAGGGTTGTGTCAATCTTTCTGGTGTGACCAAGCTAACAGGTTAGTTTCATGCTATCATCTGTAATTTTGAAAAACAAACCCAGGACATTTAAAATCCACAAGAAGAAAATGTTTTGCTCAGGTTGGCCAAAGTTCAGCGTTCACTTGTTAGCTTTTACCATAAGCTAATTTGGCAGGGTCAAACCTCGGGGCTAGTCTTGGTTAAGAGCTTAATCAAATTTGTACATGAAGCTGTGTTTATCTGTCTTTGAATGATTAACTTAGAAGAACTTGGAAAGCAGAGCTTGTTGTATTTTTGCAAGGCTGATTCACTGATAATTAACAGAACTGGAGAGATTGGAAATATTGGGGGGTATATGTGATATTAAACATATAATCTAGTTATTAAAAAGGTGGCCACAAATTCTCAGCTTGTTCTTTTAATGAACTCATGTAAAAGAAGTCAAAGCGTCAGCATAAAGTAGGGAGGTATATGGGTTATGTAGCACCACTGTAAGCTAATTTACTTCTTTTGGCCACTAGTATCAGGGTCATTTGTGGAAATTCAGGTATGGCACACAGAGTACACAACAATGCAAATTCATCTTTATTTTTTTTTATACATCTTTGATTTTTACCAGTGATGTTATGTTAGTTGTTAAAATTGAGTTGAGGTTTATTACATTTTTGACCACTGTTTGTCTCTATATGAAAATATTTTGTCAAAGAGGCAAAGTTTACAACCAGTGCATCCATATTAAAACAGAAATCTGTTTGCTACAGTTTACTGAAGGTGACCAGTAAATTCTGACTTGTTTTGTCTTGAGATGATTATTAAAAAGTCCTACAATTGTCTTTGTTTCATTGTTGATTGACTTGACTACAGAGTACTACAGACTACGGTATTTATAGAGAAAAGTGTGTATATATAAGGGGAATATACAGGGAGTGCAGAATTATTAGGCAAGTTGTATTTGTGAGGAATAATTTTATTATTGAACAACAACCATGTTCTCAATGAACCCAAAAAACTCATTAATATCAAAGCTGAATGTTTTTGGAAGTAGTTTTTAGTTTGTTTTTAGTTTTAGCTATTTTAGGGGGATATCTGTGTGTGCAGGTGACTATTACTGTGCATAATTATTAGACAACTTAACAAAAAACAAATATATACCCATTTCAATTATTTATTTTTACCAGTGAAACCAATATAACATCTCCACATTCACAAATATACATTTCTGACATTCAAAAACAAATCAGCGACCAATATAGCCACCTTTCTTTGCAAGGACACTCAAAAGCCTGCCATCCATGGATTCTGTCAGTGTTTTGATCTGTTCACCATCAACATTGCGTGCAGCAGCAACCACAGCCTCCCAGACACTGTTCAGAGAGGTGTACTGTTTTCCCTCCTTGTAAATCTCACATTTGATGATGGACCACAGGTTCTCAATGGGGTTCAGATCAGGTGAACAAGGAGGCCATGTCATTAGTTTTTCTTCTTTTATACCCTTTCTTGCCAGCCACGCTGTGGAGTACTTGGACGCGTGTGATGGAGCATTGTCCTGCATGAAACTCATGTTTTTCTTGAAGGATGCAGACTTCTTCCTGTACCACTGCTTGAAGAAGGTGTCTTCCAAAAACTGGCAGTAGGACTGGGAGTTGAGCTTGACTCCATCCTCAACCCGAAAAGGCCCCACAAGCTCATCTTTGATGATACCACCCCAAACCAGTACTCCACCTCCACCTTGCTGGCGTCTGAGTCGGACTGGAGCTCTCTGCCCTTTACCAATCCAGCCACGGGCCCATCCATCTGGCCCATCAAGACTCACTCTCATTTCATCAGTCCATAAAACCTTAGAAAAACCAGTCTTGAGATATTTCTTGGCCCAGTCTTGACGTTTCAGCTTGTGTGTCTTGTTCAGTGGTGGTCGTCTTTCAGCCTTTCTTACCTTGGCCATGTCTCTGAGTATTGCACACCTTGTGCTTTTGGGCACTCCAGTAATGTTGCAGCTCTGAAATATGGCCAAACTGGTGGCAAGTGGCATCTTGGCAGCTGCACGCTTGACTTTTCTCAGTTCATGGGCAGTTATTTTGCGCCTTGGTTTTTCCACACGCTTCTTGCGACCCTGTTGACTATTTTGAATGAAACGCTTGATTGTTCGATGATCACGCTTCAGAAGCTTTGCAATTTTGAGACTGCTGCATCCCTCTGCAAGATATCTCACTATTTTTGACTTTTCTGAGCCTGTCAAGTCCTTCTTTTGACCCATTTTGCCAAAGGAAAGGAAGTTGCCTAATAATTATGCACACCTGATATAGGGTGTTGATGTCATTAGACCACACCCCTTCTCATTATAGAGATGCACATCACCTAATATGCTTAATTGGTAGTAGGCTTTCGAGCCTATACAGCTTGGAGTAAGACAACATGCATGAAGAGGATGATGTGGACAAAATACTCATTTGCCTAATAATTCTGCACTCCCTGTATATATTATGATGGATGGTTTTGGTTCACGTTGGTCCACCCGTTGAGGTGATGAGGTACATTCAGACATATACACATGCATACCCTACGATCATTATTGTAAGATTATTTTCCATTGATTCATTGTTTTTATGCTTATCGAACTCAGAGTCAGAGGTGACTGACCAGCTATTATATGGTAATGGTGATAGCATGTGGTATAAAAGATTTCTTGAATCTGTCCTTGTGGCAGTGAGCTGAGTCAGTCTGTTAGAGAAGGACTGCTGGCTATCCAGTGCGTAATGCAGAGGGTGGTCAGTTTGTTCAATTAATTTATCCAGACCACATCTTCAGAAGTGTCCAGCCAATCTCAAAGCCACCTTTCCTGATCAGTTTATTCATTCTATTGATGTCGACAGCTCCAACGGCGCTCCCCCAGCAGACCAGATTGAAGTACACTGCAGTCGCCACAGCTGACTGATAGAAAATCATAATTTTGCTGCACACATCAAAGGATCTCAGCTTTCTCAGGAAACAGAACCTGCTCATTGCCTTCTTGTATACAGTCTCTCCTTGTTAATATGTACTACCAGGTACTTGTATTCCACCACACCAGTATCCTATCACAGGACAGACACAGGGTCCCTCTGAAGCTGCTCCCCGTCTTTCTGGTCTTATTGATATTCAGAAGCAGATGATTCGAAATCTTCACCACACCATAAAGTCTAGTGCTCTGTACCTCACTTCCTGCCCATCACTAATGCATCCAACCACTGCAGGTGTGATGACCCAGGTTGATACTGAAAGTCAGAGGTGCAGAAGGTGAATCAGAGTGGAGACACTCCAGTGCCCCTGTGAAGCTCCTGTACCGTACTGTACATCTCCAAATCAGAGAGTCTCACACACTGGCCTGCCGGGTAGTCAGTGATCCACAAGAAAGTGGATCGCTGACATCCTTCTCTTTCAGCAGCAGTGGCTGCATCACATTTAATTTACTTGACAAATCAAATAAGGTGATCCTCACCATGCAGTTTTTTTCTGTCCACGTTAGTCCAAAATAAATTAACCCACTGATGGTTTGATTTGTAACCCCACCAAACATTTTCTTATGAGTTTACAAACTGAATTGTTACCGTCTTACTCGAAACATGATGTTCTTTTGTAAACTACGGCCTCACTAGAGTCAAAAAGTTCATGATTTGTGTCCAGAATTTTACCTGCTAGTCTGCATGCCGACTGTTCAGAACATATTTCGTGCATCCAGGGAGGCTGCAGATAATAAATACAGCTTTGCTCATCATCAATTACTACCGCCTCATCCAAATCCAAGCTACATTTGGATTCAAAGTCTGTTTGTGTGCAGCAGCCTTGCAGCTAAGCTCCTCAGTTCCCATGAATAAAAAAACCCCAATAAAACACAGTATAACCAGAGCCAAAAAGTGCAAAACTGAGTCATCAAGGGAGTGGGTGGGCTTGGACCAGAGTCGACCAGTCAGCCAACAGATTCTCACGACCTCATTACCCAAAGCCCTGACCACATTAGCATTCCAAACCTCATGGACTTCAGTCCAGCTCAAGGTTCGGTGGGAACTGGGCAGCATGAAGCTTAACACACCAAATTTAATCATACAACAGCATATGGACCAAAGAAAACCTGGTACCCAGGAGACATGCCTCAATAAGGTCAACACATGGCAGGCTTTGGGAGAAACCCGGAGAAGCTGTCATGCTGTTTCTTTGTTGAGCCTCCCAGGTCAAAGGATCATTTGACCACAAGAACCAAACAGATCCAAGCTCTCGTTTTTACCACGGCCCATAAACTCCCCTCACTGCAACGGACTTCTCTGCTCCAAGCCCACCCAATTTCCTGGAAATACATCATTGTTCCCTTTGATTTACACCGTTTATTATCAGACTTCATTTGCTTTGTTGCAAATATGCTTTGGCTCAATCGCCTGAATTCAGACTCAGTTTGTGGCTTTAACTTGACCTCAGTCCAAATATCCTAGGTGTAATACTATGCTGATTCTTTTTTAACATTAATTTGTTTTGATTGACTTTTGGGACAATATTGGAATATTAAAAAGAATTTAAACATGGAATTTATTATTTTGAATCTGTCTAACACACATGCACACACACAAATTGTGCCAAGTAACTAAAGCTTGTTTTTAAACACACGTTTGCCATGACTTTCTTCCAGTGGTGTCACATTTCTTAAAAGAAAATATGATCCCAACTTATATATATATATATATATATATATATATATATATATATATATCGTCACTCATCCAAGTGACCTCTTCAGTCTCCAAAACTGAAGACGTCACTTGGATGAGTGACGAAAAGTTTCTCCCACAAAACGCTACGTCCAGATGAACAGAATCAACTTTTGGATATTATATTGCTAGTTTTCTTCAGTTTATTGTTGTCCAAAATTCTTTGACATCTTCCACCAATAATATATTTTTATTCAGGCTCATAGAATATGTATTATATCATAGTTTCACCTGTAGTTCTTTGGTTTAATGAGCCTCACCTTGAGATTCAAACCCTCACCCAATACTTCAGCGAGATGGTGACGTCATCGTCCCGTCTGGGCGGCCGCTCCTATTGGACAAACACGCGGAAGTACGGAGGAACTCTTGCTAACAACAACAGTCCATTCTGGTGATTTGTTCGAGCTCGCTGGATCGGTTTTAACTCCACCATGGCTCTGCCGGTTCAGTTCAGAATCATCCAGCACCACCTGCGGACCGCACAGGAACACGAGAAACGGGACCCGGTGGTGACTTATTACTGTAAGTGTGTGTTCTGATTGGCGTTAGCAGCTACTGTTGTTAGCATGACAGCTTTGTTTACCTGAGAGCTGACAGCCGCCTGAGCTTAGGACCCAAGCGTTTTATCCAGAGGGGAAGTTTAAAGTAAAAGTCCTTACAGATTGTGTGAGATGTTCAAGGAGTCGCCGAACTGCGGCGTTAAATCACTCCGTTCTTTGAACGTCTCACAGCGTTAGCTCTGACACCTCCAACTTCATTAGCCTCCTAACGTTCCCTTAGTAACAGGGACCATTTGGGAAATTCATAAACTGTTCCCCTCACTGACTCAGATAAAGAAAGTCCTCCAGATTCCGTTCTGTGAGGCTGTAAACCTGCTCTGCTTTCATCCTGCTAAATTTAGCTGAAGTTTGGAACAACCCAGAAACTGTCCAGGTAACCGTACCTGGCTAGCTGCCAGTGAGGTCTGGAGTTAGCAGACAGGAAGTACCGGCCAGAACGTTCCAGGGCTGCTTCAAAGTCTGACGTGAAGTCCTCGTCCAGCTAGTTTTTTTTCTTCTTCTTTGTCCTGCTGTGTGTCACAGAGTCATGAGCCTTCACAGTCAGCTGTGAACAATGGGCTCCACCCCACTGCCTGCATACTTCACCTCCACATGACTCATGAGTTTTTTTACCAGTCTGTCACTATGTTTCACACCAGTGCATACCTGCTGAAACCCAGTCGCACTTTCCTTACACAGTGGCAGTATTTTCTACAGAAGTATAATGCAGCCGCGTGATGAGAAGTTATATATTCAGTATACCTCACCAATCCACAACATCAATTTTGTCAGGACACTTGAGACGGCAAGATTAAGAACCTACAATATTATTATTACTATTTTTAATCCCATAATTTTATGAACCTTTATAAGCAGCATTTGGCAATAGTGGTGTAGAAGAACTCAGATTTTACAGGAAAATATCACCAGCAGAACTGGAACTGATTGGTGGGGGTGAGTGGAGAGGGATGAGGCCAAAACACAAATAAATTATGGGAGAGAGAAAAAACAAAAAATAGAAAGCTTGTTTAAAGTATTGTAATCAAGGACAGAAATTCCAAGAAAATGCTTGTATCTCCGATCTCAAGTAGAATATGAAAATTGGCCTGTTTTCTTTTTTCTTTTTTCTTCTGAATTAATGAGATGCCTTAAAACCTTTGAAACCTTGATTTGATGGACAGTGATTTGACCGTATTTACGTCAAATCCTGGTGTCTGTGAGATATTGACTTCTGTGTTATAGCTGAGTGTTTAGATGTATTTAGGCTGACGACTTTCTGGTGAGATGCAAAACATCCAGCCAATATTCCCAAAACGTTGATTCTGTTCATTTTCAGCAGATGGAACGTTTCATTGTTCATCCTTGTGACTGAACATAGTCTACTCTCTGGGATTTCCTGGATTAATGAGCGGGCAGTAACAGTAGCATCTACAGTATGTTACTCAAACACCAGTGCCTCCCGGTCTTTCATTCCACACCAAAGTAAAAGTGCCGTGGGGGGTATTAATGGTCATGAAAGAGAAAAACTGCAGGTGGTTTTTGGTTTGTTGTTTGGTCAAGTGACTGCATAAAACTTCCATATTTTTCCTGGTGATTTAAACCAATATGATGCTTAAGTTTCAGGGATCGTATCACTTCTACACTTTTGTTCAATATTTACTCTGAGAACAGATAAGCTGTTCCACAAAATTCTGTTTTTATTTTTCATTTAATAGGAAACCACCAAGTAATAAGAGCTAGTCTTGTAAGTTATATATATATATATATATATATATATATATATATATATATATATATATATATGTATGTATATGTTATTTTCCTTATTATGCAAAGTGTCGTGTTGACATGTTTTTATCAGTCTGAACTATGTATGCTTCGATTTATTAGATTTATATTCACTTTGAAATCAGCCATTTCACAGATTTGTACAACTAACTTTGTGCACATTAAAAGCAGGTGTGATGAAGTATTAACAGTAATTTATAATTGTTTATGGTATTCATTTCTCTCCTTCACTATCACAGATGTTGAAAATCGTACAACATAAACCACAAAAACCCGTCCTGCTGGGTTCTTTCTGTGTGCCGTTTGTACGTTCTCCCTGTACTTGCTTGGGTTCTCTTTGGTACTTTGGTTTTCATGCCACAGCACCAACTGGAGGATTCTAAACTGGAGGTAGGCGTGAATGTGAGGTTTTCTGTGTCTCTGTGTTAGGCCTGTGATGTACTGGCAACCAGAGGCCGCTCTCAGGTGTGCTCAAGGTGCTGATCTGCGCTGATCGAGCAAAACCAGCATCGGTGAAGAGACGAGTGAGAGAGAGACAGAAACCAAAGTGTTGTTGTTACTCACTCACAGTTTGGACACACACAGAAAACTGTTGTCTTGACGCACCTCCAGACTGCTGATCCTTTGCTAACAGGCATCGTCCCACTGTCTCTGATGTCTGATCCACCTTTTTGGGTCAGTGTTGGTCAGAATATCACATCACAGTCATCAACGGTCCACTTAAATTATTTCAAATGCTCTATTGAAAGATAACGTTTTGGTAGAAAGGTGCCCAGTCCTCAGCCTTGTTTCCTGTTAAGTAGGGCAGAGTGTGTAAAAGGACTGATTGGTGATGCAGAGGGCACAGCAGGGACTGAGTCTGACCCAGTTGAGCTGATGTAAGTGAGATGCACACGAAGAGGTATATCAACGCAGGAAAAGAGAGTCAGATCAAAACCAGGAGCCCACTGACTGACAGGCAGACGGACAGACGTGTGCTTCCTGTGACAGCTGAGGTGAAGCTTCTGGGAAACAGCTGTTAGGCCACATCTTCATAATGTGGCTGCAGCTTTAAAAAGCTCGTTTTGCTTCAAACAGGCAGAACGGGAAATGGGACGGTCATGGTCATCACTGTTTTCAAGGCATGCTTTGCTCTGTGTTGAACCTGTGTTTGCTCACCTTTACCAGCCTGTGGATGTACACGATGGCGTGTGTGGCTGAGCTCAAAATGATGGCAGGCGATCCGCCACCATCATCAAACCAGATTTTCCTCTTTTAAATTTGGCTGATTTTTCACCCACCTGTCATCTTTTTGTGAAAGTGAAATACTTCAGCGCTGCTGCTATTTTTATTCTGTCACTCTGAATCTCCCCCGGCGGGTCCAAACACTGACCCTTTTACTAGACTACTAGACCATACCTCCCAGGGACGGTCATTATCGTTCCTTGGGGGTGGCGGCGCTCTTTGTGCTGTTTCTGGTTATTAATTTGCCGAGCGCCGCTTCTGTCCATGGCACGTGAAAAACACTCTGCTGCTGCTCATATTAGACGATTAAATTGACTCACCTCTCCAGTCTGTTTTATTCTTTTTTTTTCTTTGGTTTTTTTTTGCCTCCTTGGTCTCTTTGCTGCGAGCTGCTCTGTGCAGTGCAAACAGCCTAAAAACAAAACCCTGTGAACACTAGATGAATGTTCTACCAGATGATCTCTTGGGGGAATTTGGTCTGTGAGACACCAGCTTTGGCCCTGCATGTCCTCTGGATACCCCACAGGACCTAAAATATGGGCTAAGTCTGGTTTCAGCAGACAACCATTAAAGGGTAGTAAGATGTCAGATCCATAGTTTGAGAAAACAAAAAACATTTTTTTAATTGAAAATAGTTACAGAGAGACTTTATTTGGGATAAATAAAGTCTCTCTGATTCTGATTCTGATATTAATTCTGATATTAATCATGCAATATGTTTGTTGTTTTCTCGTGGTTGTTTATCAGCAGGTACAGCTGTGGGTGTGGTCTGCAGTTCAGGTGTGAGTCTGTATTTGGAGCCCAGTTACCTGTCAGTGTTGTGTGTGTCCTCTGGTCAAGTGCTTAATGGATTTTATACTGCTTATGTTGGGAACATGACTGACGGAGCAGATAAGCAGTTTAACTGTATCTGAAAGCAGCAACAGCAGCCTTTTATCACTCAAGTTGATGCGGAGAGATAAACATGACGGACAAGTCCGAGGAGGGTGAAGGTGAATAGCCCAAGCTGCCTGCACTCAGTGTGTGTTTGTGGTGTGAAAGGTGGCCCCGTCAGTGTGGATGTGTGCTGGACCAGTGACCCAGTCAGACCACTGGAGGTCAGCAGCACCATGTGTCTGGGCCTCAGAGGGAGAGAGAGAGAGAGGGAGGGGCGGGTCGTACACTAACTTTAACAGGGAACGTATGTGTGTTTAAGGGATGGGGAGCAGTGGACTATGAGTGTGTTTCGTCACCATATTAGCAAGAAGATGTTTTTAAGAATAAGATGTGACGTGATGAGTGAAGCAAGGCTTAAAAGAATAGAAATAGGTTAATGCTCATGTATACTGATTATGGAAGCAATAACACTAGAGCTGGAATAACAGATGTCGGCCATGTCTGGAGTTGGGTGCATGTTTTTGGTAGCAGGAAAAAAGGAAATGGCAGAAGGAAGCTTTGAAATATGTAAAAAAAACCAAAAAAACAACAACACTTGTCGGCCTTTATAGGGGTCTGCGAGGTCTACAATTAAACTGGTCGACTGCACTGAATCAGATCATTCAGAATCAGTGTACAGTTCCTACCAGGCATGCTTGCAGGTTTTACCCTGATGTCACTCTTTGATTAGTGACATTATGAAGGCTTTGATACCTTGAGATGAGCATGTTAGCTGTCACTATGCTGGTATTTTGAAATGGATGGATCTGACTGAAACTGTACACCAAAAACCTGTCATGGACAACCATCCTTCTTGATCCTTTTTTTAAAAGTCAGTGTGACCTGAAACTAGCAACTGGGCCAGAAAAGTCATCTGAGTCACAGAGAAATGGACATAGAGACATTTCCACGCAACAAATATGGCTACCAGTTCTAAAGTTTAAAAATGACTCTATTGTATTGGTTATTGGCTTCAGTGATGAGAAACCCATACATGAGAAATGTGAACTGGTTGGAGATGCTTGGTTAAGTGACCTCAACAAAAGTGCGCTGCAA